AAAAAAAAAATTCATACTTTTGAAATAGCTATTTATTCTTTTAAGATGGGAAATTAGTACAAAATATAGGCTATTTCAAAAGTATGAATTTTTTTTTTTATTCCGTGTTCATAGGAAAATTCGAAAAATGAGAAGACTTTTTTTTTTTTCTAAATCTGTATTTCCCGGAATAGCCATTTTTTAAAAACAAAATGTTCTATGCCCGCCGCTTCCACTCCGGTTTTATCACCAAAGGGGGCAAAAATATGAAGGGTCAATTGGAAGAGGAGATCATGAAATCAAGTCGTTCTTTCGGCCTTCATAAAAAATGAGAAGGCAAAAAAAAATATTGGGAAAATGCAATTGCAATTTTTAACCCCCTTTTTTTTGCGCACAAAAATAGCGAAAATGTAATTCACAGGTAAAAATTACTCTGCTAGAAAGAACGGCCTTTATCGTGAGGGGGAAACTCGTCACATTCGTATTTTTCAAGAATGTACGTTGCTATTGTGGTGATTTAAAAGAAGAAAGGCAAAATTCCCATTGTATACATGTATATACACTTATACAGAGAAGAAGAAACATCATTCCCCTTCATTTTCCTCATTCGTACAACAATAGGAGAAAGGAGTATACAGTTTCAACCGTAGTAAAGTTACAAAATAAAGTACTCAAAATGAAAAGAGGTGGAAGAGGAAAAAAAATGGGGGCGCACAACAACAAACTCGGCAAAGGAAAAAATGATGCTTCTGAAGATGAGGAAGTCGTAGAAAGCGAAGCTTCCAGCGATGAAGCGGGAGAAGGCAACTCCACCAGTGAAGAATCAATTGATAGTGATGCTGACAATTTGTCGGACAAAGAGCAGATGACCCGAGCGCAAAAGCAAATACAGATATATTTCACATCGAACGTGGCTAATGAAAAGTATCAAATGGAAGACACGATTTACACCATTCCAGCTAGTTTCAAAAGAATCGACTTGTCAAGAATGGTCAAAAAATTGCTCGATATAAAGGAAAACGTTTCCTTCGAATTTTTAATAAATAAACAAATTTTAAGATCATCCATAGAAGAGTTCCTACATCTTAATAATATCCTCTCGGAAAATGTGATACAGATAGAGTACATACTATCGATAACGAAAAAGGAAAGTACCCAAATTGACAAAATCTCAGAATGGGTTTCAAAGTTGATCATAATTGAAGATAAGCTATACTGTAGCACCTTTGAAGGAAGTACCCTCTGTTATGATTTGTCAAATTTCTCCAAAATTGATGAGCGAAAGGTAGCTGATACGTCCATATTTGCATTTAATGTTTGTAAAAATGACAAATTAATTGATGGAGAAGTAAGGTACAGCGAATCGGCTGTAGGACTATCCAATGGGACCATAAGGGCATTTTTAAATGAAGAAACGGATCAGAAAATAGTAATGAGGAGTGAACTATATCTAGGCAACCACGACGATATGGTTAAATCTATCGCGTTCAGTAAGACCGGGTCGTTACTTATCAGTGGAGGTGCAGATAACAAAATAAACCTGTATGATAATAACGAAATTGTACAGAAGTTAAAGGAATGCATGTCGGAAAATAACACGAGTAAGAGAAAAATGAAACATGTGTTAACTCCGAAGAAGTGTATACATAAGGACGTGGGAATTATAACCGCCCTAACCTTTTTTAATAGTAATAACCGCTTTTTATGTACAGGCCTAGAAAAACATATAAAAATTTATGATGCAGATACGGCAGACCTATTTGCTGCTCTTCCATATGGAAAAGCAATCATGTGCAGTGACATTTTGAGTGAAAATCTGTTCGTAACTGCAGATGAACAATCCGTTATTAAACTATTCGATGTCAGATGCTTAGAGGAAAAAGCAGTCATATCGCCAAATGAGCATAAATATTTTTTCCATGATAAAGTGGTAACTTCCCTTGGGGGGAACAAAAATGGAATTCATTTCCTATCTTCGTCACATGATGGGTTTACCAATATATACGACGTGAGGCTGAACAAGTTGCCAGTGTATACGATTCAGAGTGAAGACAAATCGAAGGTCCTGTCCAGCACCTGGTTCTACAGGGGAAGCCACAATTATGTCATAAATGCGGACGAGACCCATTTGATGTTACATAGCTTTTAATTCGGAAGTGTGAGGGTGGGGATCAACTCGGGGATCGCTTTGCATGCCTTCCACGCTGGGGTATTCTGCGGTATGGCGGCATATAAACACGTGGAATGTTCTTCAAATAGGGGTGGTCATTCTATAAGCGTACATTTCTGCGAATTTTTTCCAATCAGAAGGATCTTGCTGTCAAGATGTGAAGCGGTTATCCTTGCGTGTACGTTTAACATTTGGCCCAAGGGAGCACTAGGTTATCACCCCACGAATTGAATACACAAGCCGATTGTGGTAGCGGTACTGTAAAAAAAAAAAAAACAGTAGGTGAAGAGAATATACATATATATATGTATATATACATATATGGGCTCCTTCCCCCAATTACTATTTGATCGGTACCGCTTCGTCTGTTTGTTCCACCCGTATGTACGAGCTCTATATGCTATGTGCGGGTATTGGCTAACTTTTTTTTTTTTTAGCGTAAATAGGCTTACGCATTAAGGGAGCCACTTGCGCCAACTTTTTTGTCTTGTCACATTTGTACTGTCATCACGCCCAAAGGCGACCTTTTCATAGAATAATATGCACTGTTTAAATGTGCCTGGAAATGGCCTTTAAAAATGCTACTCCTTTCTTGGCCTCAAAATTTTAAGTTGAGGATTTCTTACATGCTGGAATAAGATGTTCTAATTGGCGCAGCGTTCCTTCGCATTGGGCTGAGCACCAATGGGGGGTTCTTTTTTCCCATTTTGTCTTTTTTTTTTGTTATTATTTTTTCCCTTAAATGAGGAATAGAACACACAGTGGGACATTTTTAACGTAATAGAGTCAGGTGTGTGTGTGTGCTGCTGGTGGTATAATTACGTTTTTATATCTTCCCAGTAAGAGAATGATACGAAGTATTAACCCCCTTTCGGTTGTTTTTTCCCTTCCTTTGGCCATTTTTCATTAAAATAAATTATGGGGAAGGGAGGGTCCTAATCGTTTGTGCGCGCAAGGCGCTATTCAGACTGTCACATCTGAGCGTTTGCAGAGTATATTCACTATGTACACCTTTCTTCCTTTAAATGGCTCCAAAGGAACTTATCCGTATGCACTGTGTTACTTAATATTCTGTTGAAAGTTAATGGGAGTGGTCATTTTTATTTTTTTTTTCCCAATCGGGTGCTCCGCTTTGTAACAGACAAACTGTTGCTGCGCTAGAGCTTTCCATAGGGGCGTTTTCCAACTGCTCCAGAAAAGAACTCCACTTTTTGGTGATATTGCCTATGGTGGAAATATAACCATGTTGGTGCCCATATGGAACGTGCGCGTAGTAGCCCCCTCAGAAATGCATACAGTGTGCTGCCACTTCATATGCAACCAAATGTTGGTTAACCCAAAGGTGCTTACAGAAGTCCTGCCCCATTCCCTACGTTTTGTGCCCCTCAATACATTCTCGTAAATAGGCACAAACACTGTGTGAATGTATACCTTTAATGACGCACGAAGACGTGTACATATTGGCCATATCTAATGTAGCTATAAGCTGCTCCCTCCTGGAGTGACCTATCAGCGACCTTTGCAATCTTCTGTCTTTGCCTCCCCTGACCGTTGGGGAGAAACAGATGGAAAGGGGGGGAACTCCCCATGGGCATATAAGTACTACGTGCACATAATATTTATACACCACCACGTTAAGGCATTTGTATTTTGCTAGCACGATGAGCTTCATGTCGGCCCCTTCGCAGTGACATCACGGGGAGATAAAAATGAAGCGAGTATAGTACGAGTAGGGGGTATACATTCTTGTTACAATTTATGGGGTGGGGAAACCTCGATGGGTAATATTAAACATCCGATTGGGCTGAAACGTGGCCATAGGCATGTATGCACATATGCGCGTGCATGCGAATGGGCGTGCTAATGGACTTAAATTAATTTCACTTGTAGCTTTCACATGGGGAACAATATTTTATGGTGTTTTTTTTTCTTTCCCCTTGGCTTTTTCCATCATCCGTTCATTTTTTATTTTGTTTTTTTTTTTCCTGCTCTTTGCCCTTTTTTTTTTTTACCCCTCTATATGGTGTATGGTCCAAACGAAATAGTGCGTGTTTACGTAAAAACTGCATAAATGGATACCTTTACTGGAGGCAGATAAAAATACCCCCTGTGACGGACACACGTGTACATATTTGTATGTAGGGTGAATGCAAAAATGAGGAAATAAAAAAAAAAAAAAAATTGGAAGAATCTTTCCAAAGGTAATGCATGTCGATATGTTTTGTTATCACATTTTTGTTCTGGATTTATTTGTAAAAAGTGGAAACGTACTCGGAAAAGAACAGTTTCAACAGGAACGGATAAGGGGTTGAGCGGTGAAGTTACTAAATGGTGAAGCAAACATATCGTGACCGTAACGTCGTAACAACGTAACCGAGTAACCGCTTAACAGCGTAGCAGCGTAACGCGCGTCATACGTTCAAATCGTAGCATAACGAAGCGCAGAGCGAGTCATCTGCACAGCTTAAGTGAATACCCTATTTGTACCCCGTAACAGTGTTACCATCCCTTCTGCATACAGCAACGTGCCATTTGTGTATCGTAACACACCATAACGAGGCCCAACCAACCATCGCAGTTAACGCAGAGACGCAGGAGTACCAAGTGACGCTGCAAACAATGCAGCACGTCAATTAAAGGGTGAAGCGCTGATAAGAAAAATGCGCTTCCGGAGGAGTTGACCGATCGCACCAAACCGAAGCGAAGCAGTTCCGTGCCACAAACGGAATAGCCAGTTTGGTCCTATAAAAATTCGCAGTTTATTGTACACACAGTTGTTCGCTCGTTTGTCTGTTCGTTCGTTTGTTACTTAGCTCGTCAGCTCGTTTGTTTTTTTCGAAGACGATAAAAGATGAAAACAAATGAGGAACTTCTGCGAAAAGAGGAAGAAGATATATCCAAAACTATAGCCTTGTCTCTGGAGGAGTACCACGCCGCGCAGGGAAAAAAGAACGAGAAAGTAAGTCTGGGCGAGATGGAGAAACATATATATATAGAGAGAGAAAGAGCAACGCGGCGGAAGCAGATAGAGGGGTGTAATTTTCTGACGCGTTGAAAAGTTGCTAGTTCGTTTAACCATTCGTAACGCAGTGCCGGGTTGGAGGACATGCTACCAACGCGGATGTGTGTGCTGGACGGGAGGTGCCATTTTTAATCGCTCTCCGTTGGTACACACCGCGTTGTGCGTAGTAGTGCAAAAAGAAGAAAAAAAAATGCATGTGCCATGTACTGGACGAGTGTCACCAAGATACGGGTCCCTTCCCCCCCGCAGGATGACTACCTCCCGGAGGATGAAAACGACGAAATGCTGCAGGAAGCCATTCGGCTGTCCATCATAGGATGCAAGAATAGCGAGAAGCAAGACAACAGTGTAGGCACGAAGGAATCCTACCGAGACATTGTAAAAAAAAAATTCGAAAAAATTACATACTACCTATGTAACAGCCATGAATCAACAAAAAATCAAAATGATATTATCGACAATAAACTATTTTGGGAAGACATCTACAAAAATTATAAAAACATTTACATCATTATAAGGGACTATATGATAAGTCTGAATAGGAGGAATGAAAAAATGAATGAGGACTCCACCGATTCTACGTCTAACAGGGAATACGACGACAGTGATGATTCTAGTGATTGCAGTAACAACTCTTCTTCCCTTTCTTGTTGTTCCCTGGAACAAATAAAAAGAAGCTATAAAAATATAAACTACACTACAAAGGATTATTGTAAGTGGTTGAGGAAAGGAAATAGAAGCAAGTGTCTAAATGATCACGTCTATGTAAATTATTTGTTAAAAGAAATGAAGTTACTTGATGACACTACGAGCATTCACAACTTAGTGTTCGGTGTTAATAATTATAAGTACTCCAATAAAATGGATATAAAGAAATGGTGTAATCATAGTATTTCATTTTATGACAGTAGACAAATAAATTTTGGACTCCGACAATTTTTAAGTGGGCCCTGTGGACTCATTTCCAGTGTCCAGGGGTACATTATCATTATTTTGCTTTTCAATTATAAGTATCATTTTCTGTGGGATAATAATTACTTTAATATTTTGAAGACCAATGCAGATTTCTTGAATTTCACCAATAGTGATACCCCTGGGGTGGGGGGGAATACCTCTTCCCCGGGACAAGTCAACAAGTCAAGAGGAGGAAGTGGCGCAGCTCTTCGTAGTGACGCCAACACGGGGAAGGATGATTGTGATAAACAAAGGGAGGACCACACCGGGGAGTACAACCAGAGCAGAGTCCCCCCTTGTGATCAACACGCGGCCGGGGAAACCGAACCCGCAACTCCGAATGAAGAAGACCGCACAAACTGCTCTTCGCAACGGATTGATTACCAAAGCAAGGGGGGGGACAGCACCACCGTGGGAAGCGACAAAAATGGGGTGGAACACCCAAAGGGGGGGAGCTGGGGCATGAGCAGCAGCGGGGAACGCGGCAGCGGCAGCCTCGACAGCACGCGCAGCAATGCCAACAGTGGTAATGACATCGGAAATGGAGGAGGTGAAGGCGGTCGAAGCGATAGAGGCTCCTGGAAAACAGACACGCAGAAGGAGAACGTGCCAAATGGAGAGGCCGGGAAGAACTTGGTCCACGACAAAGACCACGACAGGGAGGACGACGAGAGTGATGATTACGATCACGAGTTTGTACAGCTAGTCAGAGATAACATAAAAGATCTAAAATATTATTCATTAGTAGAATCCATGGCGTATATTCTGTATCAGTGCACAGACAAATCGTATTACATTATAGCGTTTTTGCTCCCCGAATGTTACGATTTTTCATTCTACATGAACAGGAGAAGCTCCGATGAAGACATGATAAGGGATTTAAAAAGAATAAATATTTACTACAAGGAGTTTAGCAGCATTAAGGAAGTAATAAAGTTCTACTTGGAGCATTTCATAATTTTCTCGAGCTCAACTGGAGCCATTTCTTTCTTATATTCTGTAATTCTAACGAGAGGAATGAACAATATTATGAATGATATGGACGACGTGAACCATCCGTTAATAGGGATTTATGGCCACTGCTCGCAGGAGTTGGTTAATCTGCTTCTCACCGGCAGGGCCTGCTCCAACGTGTTTGATAACAATAGTATTATAAATACGTTCCCGCAGATGGACGAGGACGTAAGCGCTGCTTTGCTGTTTGACGGGGGCGGCAGGCGCGGAAGTAACAGTGGCAGCAGTTTGGGGGGTACCTTCGGGGGTAATTTCCCTGGCGGTACTGCTATCCCCCCGTTTGCGTCCCCCACTAGGGATGCGAGGCACGGATCAAGGAGCTGGAATGGTAGCGGAGGAAGTGGCGGAGCTCCTCAGCTTTCCCCGGGGATGAACAAAAACAATATCATACTTAAGGGAATCAATAAGAGACCGCTGATCGGACTGCTCACCGATTTTGAAGCCTTCAAATATTGCGAAGTGGGAAGCTTCTACAAATACCCCATTTACCCTATATGGGTGATTAGTAGCTCCAACCACTACACCGTCTTGTTTTCCCTAAACATTAACAACTCAAAATGTACCAGTGAAGAATTATTCTTAACCAAATTGAATAAAGTGTGGAATAAATATGACAAGGAAAATAACAAATACATTTTATCTCATTTCATTCCTCAATTTATACAAGACTTGAATTTAAAGGAGGAATATAAAAATATGTTTGATGGCTTTGTGAGTGACCTAGACATTTTGCTTTACTCCGAATTTAAGGCGTTTTATTTACAGTTAAAACAGAATGATATTAACAAGCTTAAGAATTCTGACCCCCCAAAGGAGAAGTACTTTTATCTTTACGATGCACAAGAAACGGCAGAGAAATGTATCAACTATTTTCTGCTTAAAGAAGTCGACTATGATGTTACGCATGATAATCATTTAAAATTTTTTAACACGCGCTGGCCAAACAATACCGTCGAAATTTTGAACAATGTCAAGAGGTCCTCCAAGCATAAGTATGCCTATTAAGGTGTTCATCACACTCCATGTGGGAAATCTTCAGCATTTTTTTTTTCCTAGCAGAGAAGAAAGGGCGTCCATGTCTATCTGTGTTTTTCTCCTCAGGAGGAACGGCCACATATATATACTCTCTTAAATGACTCCCACACACAGAGACCACATCATGGCGAAAACGTTGTGTTAAGTGTAATTATTGTACTTTTGAGAATTTTTGAATTCCGCCCCTTCTGTGAGAAATTCCTACCTATGCGCCATCCCCTTAGTTGAGAGGCGATTCTCATTTTGTGATGAAGAGGCAGTGATTAGCAGGATTTGCAGCACATTTTGTAGCACATTTTGCAGCACTTTTCGTAGCTCTCTCCTCTTCCACCACTTCGCCTTTTTTTTTTTTCCCGTGCCCTCCTCCCCGCACTTTCGCGTCGTGTTAGTGCCTCTTTTCTGCACACATAGCAAGAAAGAGGCAGTTCTCGGGTTAGCGCTGGATTGGATGAGTCACCAATCAGCGTGCCGCCAATCGGTGCTGCTAACCTGCCGATCCGCTTACCCTTGGGGAGTCTTCAATTCGTGGAGAGCGCCTCCTTGAAGAGGTGCTCTGGGACGTGCGCACAAACGCACCTCGCCGTGCAAACAGACATATGCGTCATTACATAAATGTACCACTTGTGCATGTAATCTCTCTCTACCCGTCTGTCCTACCCCCAGGTAGGCACCTGTTTCCTGATTTATACTTATAAAAAAAAATTATTAATGGACATTTTGTAGCCGCTCCGTTGATAATACCTTTGTTTAACGTCAACTCGGATAAGGAAATTTCCTTTTTAAAGCAATCAAATTTTTTTTTCCCCCCACAAAAAGGTGGTAAAAAAGTGAGGGTATTTATTGTGTGAAGTCATGCACATATATATAAACACCTCTGTAAGACACATGTTGGAGTGGTTACTCAAACGTGGAAGGGGGGTTGTCGCTATGGAGTGACCAGGTGAGAGTGGGGCATCCGAGTTTAGTATCAGTCCGAATGTTCCCCAAGCGGGATCACCCTATTGATAAGGCCCGGCGGATACACGGCTTCATTTTAACACATCCCGTGTGAGCAAAATATGTTTTTAGGACATGCCAACATTTGCAAAACCCATGTTGCCGGATGCTTATTTTTTGTTCACTTTTCGTGCAACGTAGTTCTACCGAGTGGGGGGCAAACTGATGGGATAAAAAGGGTACATTTTTTTTTTTTTTTTTTCCTTTTTTGAAGCCAAAGCGTTTATTTTTTCCCCAATGGTCCACACAGGTATGCTGCTATAACACGTGGATTTTTCTTCTCCATCACCTATGCTGATGTGTATCATGTGACCGTATGTGTAAATATTCATGTAGGTAGAATGTATGGGCATTTTCCGTCCTTCTTACTCAACGGAATGGTAAGAAAAAGGGAGGGGTAGAACGCGGACTTGGGCCGATGAAACCACCAAACGGAGTTATACCTGTAACGCCTTCCATCTGAAGAGTTTCGGTGAGGAAAGAGATAACAGACCAAAGGTATGATGTGCAAAGCTTTGACTGCAACTCTCTAGGCTGACCTGTAGAAGTCATGCCAGTTGTGAGAATCAATCACGTTTCCGTCTCTTCACCTGTTGGAAGTGACCCCCCGCAGGGTGGGCTCAAATCTAAATGCCCCCTTTCCGCTCGAAAAGCCGAGGCAGTCGTATTAGTTCGAGTGCACCTTCGTCACAGTTGCAAATATTTATGAATAACCAAATGATTAAGAAAAAATTGCACATGGGGGGCGAATGCACGTATGCTTTCTCATCTATGCCTCTCTACGTGTGACCACCAGAAAATCGGTTGCCTATTGAAGGGGCATAAAAAAGAAAAAAAAAAAGAAAAAAGGCTCATTTGATTGTTTTCCCCCCATAGTATAACATCAGGGAGAGGCATTTTAATGAGGCTTTTTTTTCTTTTTTTTTTTTGCCCAAATTTGGTTAAATAAAATTGCCGTGCAAACGGTTCATACGACATGTGGGTAAAGCAAATCAATGGAACAAATAATCATTGGATAAATAGCCGTCGTCATATCCGCATCTAAATGAGCCATTTCCCATTTTTGCGTTTCCCCATTTGCGTGCTTCACACCCATTCCGAAGTTGCCCCCCGACACGAGTACAATGAGTTGTACCACTCTGTACGGGTACGAGCTGGTTAGCCAAATTGATCAGTTGGTGATTCGAAAAATTGCAAATGAGAAGATTCAGCCTGGGGGAAATAAAAACTGGCCACAAGAAAAAACGCTATTTATTATTTACTCAAAGAACATAGCCACGTATTCATATCTGCAGATTCTTCTAAAAAAGAGTTTGTTTCTAAATGCAGATGTTACGTTTGTACTCGTCCGAGTACACAACGGATCCAACGAAAAGAGCTTAATCAATTTCATAAAAAAAATAAATACACGAGGAAAGAACACATGGGTCATAATCCTCTCTCCGTTGTCTCGTCACATAAACAAGTGTTACATTTCTAGTTTCATTAACGAAGAAAAGGATGTGGACCGATCTAACTGTGCACCCATTTGGAAGTTACTATTCCGTGGTAGTAGCAGTAGTAGAAGTACTTATGGGGGAGATGGCCATAATGATGGATACAGGACTCTGGTCCAGCCCATCCCCTTTTCACATGGAGCTCCGTATTTGTTTGCACAAAGCTGCGAAGCCTTCCTGCAGTTCCTCTTTTGCATTTTGCACCTTGGCATGATAAAAAAAGGAGAGTATATCTGGACGAACTCCACTGCGAATGCGCCGATTCAGAAGGAAAAGGCAGCTGAGGGAGACACGGAAAAGTTCAGTGACGCTACAGAGGGGGATTACCCAAGCAGCGATAACACCCTACCTAGTAACCTTTGTAGCGACATCAAACAGATTAGTAATATAAGCCCAGAAATTAAGAAATACCTTAGGAGTAGCACCAAATACAACCTTCCGTGTTGCGTCCACGCTATCCTCCTCTTCTTGAGATATTACCACATACATGTGAAGGGGAAAAGTGTGTTGATTCTTAGTAGCAACATAAGTATCTACCTATCCCTATTTGCCTTCTTTTTTCGAAGTGACGTTTCGACCACTGTCTATGATCCGCTGCGGGGGGAGGTTCTGTGTAGATACGATGGCAGGGCCAAAAAGTGCTACCTACGAACGAGGAACATAGGCAAGCTACACATCAAAAACGAAGCCGATTTTAAAAAAAAGTGCATAATGTTCTCCAATTCGTATGTATCGGCCAGTAAGGGATACACAAAAATTACCCACCAAGATTTATCAACACTGAGGAAGAACATGGATAGAAGGATTGTCAAACGTTCCGATGTCATAATAATAGCAGTAGGTTGTCCCCACATTTTAAAAAAAAAAAATATTAAAGAAGGCGCAATTATCTTAGATTTGGGAATCAATTTGGTCCCACTCCGAGGTAGGCACATGGAAAGATTGGTCGAACCGTTTTGTGGTTCCTCCGTCGGGAAGAAGCAAGTGGAAATGAAAAAGAGGCCCCAAAAAGTGGATGAAAGGAAGTTCCCTTCAAGGAAGCGACTCTTCCCGTGTGAGAAATTCAAGAACGGGGAAAGTTCCCCAAAGTTACAAAATTGCATAAGCTTAGTGAAACATATATGCTTAAATTCTCCTCGAATTGGTAAAACTGCTACATGTGAGAATTTCTTTGGGGAGGAAACCACCGGAGTGATAAGAGAAGGTACTTCCCCATCTCAGTGTTCCAACGATTCTCTGATTTCTCCGCCCAGTGGAGGGATAATGGGCGTCCACAGCAAATGCCATAAAATCATTCCTCTAAAAAGCCGAAAGTCCAAAATTAAATTCGCCAATGGTTTAGCCAAGTTCTTGCAAAATTACGAAATTGTTGGTGACGCGGATGCGAACTGCAAGAAGAAGTGCGCGCTCCTTTCGAGTGTGCCCGGGGGCCTGGGCCCCATCACCACATCCATGCTGTTTTATAATTTGTACTTCAACTGAGGTCTCATCCGAGGTAAGGCAGCGGAAGATGGCGGTGGAGGGAATGTCCGCTTAGAAGCCTAACAGCCTAGCAGACTAGCAGTCCATCAACCCGTCAACCCATCGACTCATCAGCTCATCAACTAATAAGCCGATTAACCCGTCAGCCCCTTCGCTCCCCAGTCTGTCAAACTAGCTACTCCCTTTTTTGCGAATCCAGTAGGGAGCATCCCCCACAGGCCCGTCCACCCAACCGACCATTACGTATATCTTTTTTTAATTTTTTTTTTTTTGTGTATCTCCCCTTTTTGTTTACTTCTAGCTAACTTAAGAATTAAAGAGTCCATCCCCCTCGTTTCAGTAAAATTTTCCACGTGAATAATTCGAGTATAGGTGAGAATTCCTGCACATTAGTAGATTCACCGCGGAGTGAACTGCACTACACTGAAATGGTCGTCGTCTTCTGTCTGCATCTTAGACTTGGTGCAAAATGTTACTGCATGCCGTTCTACTTGAGGGGTTATTCCCGTTTCGAAAGAAGGGCACTCAAAAATTAATGTGCGCGCGGAATAGTGGGACTTTTCCCCGCTGATTGGCATCGCTAATTTGGAGAGTTTCCTCCCTTCTGATTATTTTGACCGATGTAGCTATATAAATATACTGTTCTGCGAAAAAAGGAATAACGATATTGGCATTCCATCGTGGGAAGACAACACATTTTTTTGGAAAGGTAAATTTGGCATTCCTAGAAAGAGGTAAGAAGGAACCCCTTTCGCCTTTTTAAAAATTGCCAAAGTTCCTACACCTGTATGCACAATTAAGGAAAAAGAAAAAAATAGCACTTATTTGTGTAGTCGCTTTTCAGCGTGGCGGAATGGTCATTTGTGAAAACAATAACTGAAGGAATTCCTGCTGGGGAGATCACTCGAATGGAAGGTCACTAAGATAGGCGCCATATCTGTCATGTGAGTTGTGCGCGAAAGTTAACATCAATCGATTAAAATTTCGTTAAATTGGGAATCCTACCGTTACTCCATCACACGAGTGATTCTCCCATGGAATGGGAGAAAGCGGACGCTACTACATTATTACACAAATCTGTTCGCTTTTTTTTTTCTTTTTTTCTTCATCTATTTTGTAGCCGCTCCACCCCGAAGCATCCGTGTGGAGGGTTCAAAAATTGGGAAGCAAAATAAGAACGAAGACATGGCGTCCCCAGGAGAGAGAGAGAAAAAAAATGCGCATTGGGCCGTGCTTCTCCCTATTTGTGTACTCCATTCAGAACTATTTTTCCGTTTCGAGGGAGTTTCTTTTCCGTCAACCTCGTTAGCATTATTGTCTGTATTTTTAATAGTATCTAATTTGCCCTGTCTTGGAGGATGCCTCCCTTTTTTTTCTTTTTTCTGTGCATTTATGATTGTCCAAGTGCGTTTTTTGTTTCTTTTTTCCATACTTAAAATTTCATTTCTCTTTTTTTTTTTTTCCCCCACATGGAGAAATAGGCCTATCGCTGCACGAAACGTAGCGCGGCTCTTTACCGCTTTTACTGGCACGTCTGGCGAATGTATTGTTCTCACACATCAGTGCGTACATAAATCTGAATACATGTATATGCCGCCCCTGCAGCGTACACACGCCTGTTGTCTGAAAGCACGCTGACACATTTGTAAAAAAAAAAAAAAGAAAACAAAATGAACCTCAGTCGAAACATTTTGTCTAAAATAAAAAAAAAGAAAAAGAAAAAAAAGGACAATGCGTTGCTAAATGAAGAACTGAATAAAATTGAGGAGGTACCCCGCCGTTTTGTGGATTCCTTAAGTGATAACCATCGCCGCATTTTCTTTCGCCTCATCGAGTGGTCCGCTGCCCCACTTCGTACTTCCCTTTCCAAACGCAGAAATGGATGGGAGCGAATAACGAAATAACTGAAGAAACGGCGACGTCGGCCAAGAGAGAAGTAAAAAAAAAAAAAATATATATATAAATATATAGATATATTTCATTTTTCCACATCTACCACAAAGTATGGAAGAACTGCGTACGCTTAAATAGTTATCTCCATTTCGTGTGCATTTTTTTCCCCCCTTTTTTTGGAAAGGAACTTTTAGAATTTATTCAAAATCAGGATGAATTTAAAAACATAAAAAAGTTGTCTTCTGATGAAAGTGAAGTAAATGTGCCAAAGGGAGCTAAAAAAAAAAAAAAAGTTGCCAAAAAATGGAATCTCAAAGGATGCGATATAGTTATGCCATCCGCCCTCAGAAAGGTGCTTGCGAACAAGGAAGACCCCAAACGCACTTTATTTATTTTTTTTTATCATTTTTAATCACAGAAATGTGAAAAGAAGAAAAAAACGAGAATTATAAAAAACGATAAAGACCTGCTAAAAGAGTTGGAAAAACAGATTGACGAGAAAAGGTTAGAGGAAAAAAAAAACATCGCTAAATAATTACCAATCAGCGTCGTATCAGTTTGCCTTTCTAACGTCGTTCGTCTGTGTTGTGCATAGCCCGCTGTGCATTTGTCACAGAAAGTGTCTCCTTTTTTTTAAGACATTCCCTCCGGTTTCACACCTCCTCCATGTCTGTATTTTCAGGCTGCAAAAAGAGAAGCTAAACAAGGATAACATGAAGATGGAAGAAATTGAAACTTTGTACTTGACGGAAATTGAAAAAAAGCAAAAGGAGGAAGAAAGAAATATCATTTTGAAGAAAAAAGAAAGCGCACTGATAATAAAAAATCAGATTCAGGAAAATTTCGTACGCAAAAAAGGGGAATACAGCTGGTGTGCAAATTGGTCTACACGCAACACCGCATGTGGGTATGTATAACCCCCTCTTTCAGCATCAAATATTTTTTTCCTTTTTTTCTTTTTTTTCCTTTTTCGCCTTTTTTTCCTTTTTTGTCTCAACAGCTGAAGAAGCAGGAGGAAGAGAGAATGAAAATAATCGAGGGGAAACTAATGCAAAAGCAGTTTGAAAAAAATAAAGTCGAAGAACTGGAGAAGAAAAAAGAAAAGTTGGAAGAGCAACGCATCCTGTGCAGTTACATCCTTGAGAGCAACAAGAAGCACATTGAAGGTAACGGGCAAAAGGCGCAGAATATAAGGACACATTTCCATAAGACAGTGCACGCATTTAGAGTAGTTGGCAGATGGGTGCCTATCGCAATTGAAAGTCGTCTTGGCGAAAGTGGGACACCAGCCAATAAGGGGGCACAAATTAATGGCACACGACACGTGCGCTTTACGCGAGTACATACCGACGCACACGTTTATGCGTACGTTTTTTGCCCATTTGCACAGCCCTGAACGAGCAGAAAAAGAAAGAGAAGAGGAAAGATGCGGAGTAAAAAAAAAGAGGACCATTCTAAAAAGCATTCTAAAAAGCATTCGAAAGGACGTTCCTAAAACGTTCGAAAAAACTTCCTCATTTGAAAGCGCGCAAAATCGACATGCACGGATTTGTCTTATTCCCCCCTTTTTTCCCCTTTAACGCAGATTCGTCAAATACCAGGAGGAAAAGGCAACGAGAGAAAAGGAATATGAAGACAAAGTTAAGCGAGAAAAAGAAGAAAAAGAAAAAGAAGTCCACGAAATACGAATGAAGCAGAAAAAAAATGTCGAACTACAAGCGCATTTTGACGAAATACAAGCCTTGAAGTATGGACAGACATTTCCCCCATGCAGAAAAACACGAGAATGCAGAATATGCCTGTTCTACCTACAGTTACACAAATGGTTGGTAACTTTTTTAAAAATTTCCCTTTGAAGGTGGCAAAAGGAAGCTAAACGGAAGGAGGAAGAAAAAAGAGTTCTGGAGGAAGAGAAAAAGAAAAAAAAAATAGAGGAATTAAAGAAGGCCAGAATAGTTGCAATGGTTAGCACACACTTCTGTTCAAAGTATATGCTACGTGTGGGGTCAGCTCACAACTTGGTTGCGGGTTACGACGTGATATACTTTGGCTGCAATGCTTTGCTACGCTTTCTTCGTCCCCGATCATCTACGCAACCTTCCACTTTTTTATTTTTTTTACGCACGAATAAATTCCTTTTTGAAACACAAAAAAAAAAAAAAAAAACTTTTGCAGGAGCTGAAGAAGAAGAAAAAACTGGAGCTAATAGAGGAAGGCCAAATCGAGGCCGAAAATTCCAAAAAAATATTCCAACTCCATGTACTAATTTTTTAAAGAAAAATTGAATCATGTGGATGTATTTGTACATTTGCACACCACCTTTTACTAATTCCGCGATAGAGACACATGTGTCGTTACACCACACATTTGGTGCAGGAAAAGGAGAAAATGCAGAACGCAGAATGGGCGAAATTGAAGAAAAAAAATTATTATGAGAGTTTAACCAAGCTGGTTAATTTAAAAAAAACAAACAAACAATAAAGCCGGTAAAAAGTAGTGGAAGTCATCCAATTGGTCACATAAGAAAAGGGGTTCCCCCAAGGGGGCTAATAAGCCAGTGATATGTGACATCACTGCGCGAAGGAAAAAAAAAAAAATAAGGCTGTAAAAAAAACACAGACTAAGCGAGTGTACCAAATGCACCTGCGCAAATGGGCACGATAGAAACGGCTTGTAACCTACCCAATCGATTTCGCCACGAGCATATGGCACAACAAAAAACTCCCAGGTGTGCACACGCATACGTAAATGCATATATGTACCTGTGTGCGCCCTTTTTTTGCCTACTTAAACTTCCTCTTTTTAACATTCAGTTTTAAATTTAAATCAACTTTTGGTGGGGCGTCCATCCCAAAGTTCTTCGAAGTCTGCAGCAAATTCAGGTTGTTCACGTCAAAGACGTCCTTCAGTGCGTAGGTAATGTACCCCTAAGGAGGAGAAGAAGGAATGGGTGCATGGTCGGCGTGGGTGTTTGATGGACGAATGGGCCAATGGGAATATATGTTTGCGTGGAAGAATGGGAGAATAAACACGCCCTTGTCGAAGCAAACTGATAAGGGTAGGTTTACGTACGCGCAGATGTAGACGCCTGGACATACCATTTGCAG